CCTGTGTGACCAGAGCAGTGTAGGATGGGGAGAGGAATATGCTGAGTTCAAAGACACAGGAAGTTGCCAATCACACAGGGAAAGTTCTCATGGACCACGGTAAGGTTAGGGATTTTATTCCAAGGTCAAAGAAACATCACAGAAGGGTCTGCAGAAACTGAACACTCATGGGGCAGAACCCAGGCCAGTGGTTGCAGTCGACAGAATCTTCAGATTAGATCAGACATCAGCATGTATTGAGTACCCACTTTGCACCAAGCACGCTAGGTGTTTTCCATACCTTACCTAATTAATAAATCTGAAAGAAAGACAGCAGTAGCCCCATTTTATATATGAAGTTTCGGAAGCAACCCATTTAAGGCCACAGGTTAGTAAGTGGCAGGACGAAACCTGAAACCCAGTCCTCAGCATTCTCAAATCCATGTCCTATGAATATACCATGGTGCTTTTGAAAGCTTCAGGGCCATACAAGCGGGGCAGGGGTGGAAAATGAGGGAGCTATGATCTGGTAGTAAGTAAATGACAACATAGACATTACAGAGCAAATTTAAAGATGCCAATCTGCTAGTGAAACCACAAACAAAACACTCAAATTTTACCAACTGCCTTGGCTGAGACCAAGAATTTTCAACAATAGGAATAAGAGCGTCAATGCAAGAATGCCAGCATCTCAGGCAGGTGGGTTTAAGACAAGAACAGCAAAACCAGGTATGGACAGGATACAGGCAATTGTTTCCGCCACTCCTGGCTAAGAGTTCTTTCAATTTCTTAGAAAGGAAACCACTAGACATAACAAATCTATTCCATAGTATCTACTGTTTATTGCATATAAGTTATGCTTACTCTCTCTGACATCAAAAAATCTTATTTCTAGGAATCTACCTTAAAAAGAACACACACATATAACTATGAAGAGATATTATGTGGCCAGGCGCGATGGCTCATACCTGTAATCCCAGCACTTTGAAAGGCCAAGGCAGGCAGATCACGAGGTCAGGAATTTGAGACCAGCCTGGCCAACATGGTGAAACGCTGTCTCTATTAAAAATACAAAAATTAGCTGGACGTGATGGTGCATGCCTGTAATCCCAGATACTTGGGAGGCTGAGGCAGGAGAATTGCTTGAACCTGGGAGGTAGAAATTGCAGTGAGCCAAGATCACGCCATTGCGCTCCAGCCTAGTGTTAGAGCAAGATCCCATCACAGAAGAAAAAAAAAGATCTATGCACAAGGAGATTCATCACAGCTTTGTTTATAAAAGTGAGAAATTAGAAACAACCTGAAATGTCCCACAGTAAGGTTATGTAAATTATGGCTCAATCCATCCCTTTTAATAAGCCTTTATTTAATACTACACAGCCAATAATAATGCCATCCATCGGTATTGAGAATGGAAAGCTATCCATGTCATTCCCTGTCAAAAACCAGAATTAAACTCTTCCATACGTTGAGAAAGATAGCTACCTGGACAGCATACGTTGTACCAGATTGTGGGTCTTCCATACTCACCCAAAAAACATTTTTTTAAAGGGAGAGAGAGATACTAGTGTCCAAAACAAGTAATGGCAGGTAAGCACAGGCCTTCACAAAATGCTGCTTCCACGAGGCCTCCTCTGGTCTAGGGAGGGAAGACCAATAAGACAGGCTCCCAGTGAAGACCAACTGATTTACCTAACTCCTACCATGAGGCCTGCCATACAGGTGATTATACCCTCAACTAATGAGGATATTAGACAATGGATTACCAGTTTAAAGACCAAAAAGAAGGCTTGTGGTTTTCACATGCCAGAGTGAGTACTTGCACAGAACAGTCAAATGAAATACAAAGGACTTTCTTTAACAGAAGACCTGGGTTCAAAGCCCGAATAAGTCCCTACTTCCCTCTGGGCTTCAGAGTCCTCACAAGTCAAATGAAGGGACTGGATGAGATGATTCCTAGAGCTCCTCCAGCTCTGAAATTAACTCTATTCTAAACATCCCTTCACTCCACGCCCTTAGCTCCACATTCCTCCCTTTGGGCCCACAACAGCACAGCAGCCTTTTAACTCATCACCCTACCACCAGCGTTGCTCCCCTCCAAACTCTTCCCCTCATGATCATCAGCCTGGTAAGACTTTGAAAGCATAATTCTGGTCATTTCCCTTCCCAGATTAAAATCCATTGCTGGTTCCCTTTCATCTTCAGAACAAAAACCAAGCAAAGCAGTGTAACATTCAAGAACCTGCAGGAGCTGGCCTCTGCCTGCTTCAATGGCCTCACTTCTCTCAGCTTCCCTCACACCGCCTCCTTCCAGCCAAAGAGAACTTACAGCTCCCTGAACTCATCAAACCCTGTCATGCCTCTCTCTACATTTGCACATGTGAGTCCTTGTGCCTGGGATGCTCCCCTAGCTGTCTCCACTTGACCAATCCCTACCTGTCCCTGATGACCCAACTCAGGCAACATCTCCAGAGAGGTCTCTCTGAACCCAGAGTCAGAGCTCCTCCTCTGTGGTCCCACAGTACCCTATACTGACCTCTGTCCCTGTACTATTTTCCTATCCATCTTCCCAGTCAGACTGTGAGCCTCTGGACAGGGGGACTTACCTGGTCTTAATCCACTGCAGATTCCCCCTGGCAGAAAGCCTGGCACAGTGGCATATATTAAAAACTGTTTATTGAATGGATGAACTCTGAGGAAAACCAGAAGGGTACCTATGTATTGCCAGCCCCCAGCAAAATCAAACTCCTGATAGTTAGGTATCAATCATGTGAGACTAAAATAGGACAAATCATGAGTTTCCACTTAAAATCCAAAGTATCTCTCAGCCCCCTCCTTAATATGCATGCTGACTCTAAAATTAGCTTTAGATGCCAAGAGCATTTCCTATAAGCATCCCACAGAAAGTTCAGACTACCACTACGTAGAGATCATGCATTTTGTAACTCAGGCCAAATGAAAAATTTCAGTGACTTATAAAGACCTGAAAGGGAGACACTGAGAACAGTGTGGCCATTTCAATTCCGGCTGCAGAATTTGCTCTTGAAAATGCTACAATAAAAAATATTAATGCCATAAAAACCTAACAGCAGCCAAAGGACCACAGTCATAAAGAAAAAAACATAAATCCTAAAATATGTTGGCATAGAAGGCTCTCCCTCACCTTCAAAGAAAAACAGGATTTAGGTCATCAAGAACACATCTGAACAGGGGAAATTTGGATCACATGGAAGAATGGGGGAAAAAAATAACAGTAATTATTAACAATAACAGTAAGAAAAGGGAGAAGCAGAGATGGCAAACACAGAACATACTCTGTGCCAGGGATCTGTGCTTTGTATATATTCACTCATTCAATCCTCCAAACAACCCTATGAAGTAGGTACTGTCATGCTCATTTTTAAAATGAGGGAAGCACAGGGAGGTTGAGTGACTGGCCACAGGGCACCCAGCAGAAGTGGACAAACATGCAGCCTGGCTCCAGAGACCATGGTTCTTAGGCAGCACAGACTGCGTCTGAGAACAATTTTGCCACATCACACCCCTGGGCCTCAGTTTCTCCTACATATAATAAAGAGGGTTGTATTCAATCCTAGGATTCCCTTCCATTCAATAAGCAGAAAATAGATATGAAACCAAAAGTCTAATATTCTGTGAAATTTTCCAATTTAGAAATAAGATGTAAAACGGTGCCCTTTAAAATGAAATAACTATCTTGCAGAGCCACTTTAATATTAAAGTAACATATACAAGGAGCTTAGCACTTAAAGTGCCCAGCTCAGAGCAAGAGCTCAATAACAGTAGCTGTTATTACTCTTATGATAAAATAGGAACAACCATTTAATAGTAGAGCATATTTTAATTATACACGATGTAGAATAATCAAATCTCATTCGTTTGAGGCCCCAGACCCCACAGCATAGATCGAGTTGTACAGCTGAAATTATAACAACTCAAAGCCCCGAAATTACTTGTTTCCATTAGAGATCTGACAAGTCATTTCTTCAATTGGTCACTGGTGGTTTGCAGATAACTATTAGCAGTAATGAGTATTCTAAATTAAATCCAGAGACAGCACTGCTCTGTTCTGTAAAGACAACTGGGGAGAGAGAAACATAACTGTGGAATGTCCTTCTCTCTGTGTCCTCCATCTACTCTCTGATAAGTATCTCCTGTGTCTTGCATAGTATGGATTTCATTTGCTTACGAATGAAGAAGGGGCTAATTCTTCCCGTGATAAATGAGAGCGTTGAACAGGTAACTTGTTAAAGAGAATTGGAATTGGGAAAATAACCTTATTTTCCTGTTACTTGACAGCAAACCCCATCTGCTAACAAATGAAAGACACAACGCTGAAAGACATTAAGCACTGAAGTCAAATATACCACCGAGTAATCCATTCTCAGAAAAAAACTACACAGTACCGGGTACAGGATACTCACATTTCATTCAAAAGCAACAAAGATAAAGTCTATAAAAGGCAAGGGGAGGCACAATGCAGTGGAAAGAATAATGACTTTGGAATTAATAAAAACCTGGATTCAAATCCCAACTCTGACACTCCTGCATTATATGACCATAAGCAAGTCTCTCCTAATCTTAAGATTCCTTATCTGTAGGAATGGGAATAATACAAAATATCTCAAAGGGTTGCAGTGAGCATCAAATAGGGGACCGTAAATAACATGTAAGGCCCCTGACAAATATTAGCTCACCTCAGCTTGCAACAGGGGAACATCCTCACCTTTAGGACACCAGAGAGACACCAAACTTGAAAACCAAAGGTTTCACCCAACGTTGAAAACTGCTGATCCCATCAGAACCTGTATTTGGCCCTTGTATAAAGGGCTGACTGCATGTGTACATACAAGTCTCATAGAGGATGTCCAGGAGACATGGCACCCCTCCTACTTCTAGTATCATCGAACTTAGATCTCAGGAAACACATCTTTCCTGGGTCTGGCTGGACAGTAGCAGCAGACATGATTTGTTGGGGATAGTAATTTGGTATTTCCACTTACATTTTCAAAGTCCTTCATGTTCCGTGCTCTGGTGGGAGACACTGTTTCTTCTGACACATTTGGGAGCCCTATAAAAAGATAAAACAGACATAGGAAAACGTCACAGCATTCAAACTGCCCAGTGTTCCTTTTGGGGAATAGAGCCCAGAAAAGAAAAAAACACACAAACTGCTCCCACCTGCTGGCACTTGCTGTCTGTTGTGATTTACTGATCTCAGTCCAGGGAAAGCTCTAAATCATTAATTTACAAATGACTTAAACTAACCCCAAAGTAGCAATGTGCACATCAGAGGATGAACCCAGCAAATGCATCAGCAATTTTGCAAAGCAGGCTATCCTAATAGGTACTTCCTTATTTCAAGAAATTACTGAACAGAATATCATCTTCTCATGTCAGTAATTAAAACAAAGCATGTCTACCTGATTTGACAGCAGGGGTTGGCAAACTTTTTCTTAAAACGCCAGACAATACTTTAGGCTTTGTGGGCCATAGGCAAAGCCTAAAATCTGTTACAACTACTCAAATCTTCTGTTGTCACAGAAAAGCAGCCACAAAGTGGTTGTGTTCCAATAAAAGTTTATTTTCAAAAGCAAGCAGTGGACCAGAAATTGCTGACCCTTTTTAGACTGTGCCAATACCCAAATCTCTGCACAGCTTCTTTAACTCAACAAACAGGTACTGCACACCTACTTGGTGCTAAGCCCCATCCTGTGTGCTGAGGAAACAATGGTGGAGATGACACTAATCCTGGATCCAAGAGGTTCCGAATCAAGTGGGCAAGTCGGAAATCTAAACGAACTGTTATCAGGCTGAGGAAAGCCTGTGGCACTCTGCAGGTGTTCAGTAAATGTGTGATGGGTAAATAAGTTCATTCTTCCATATTATATGCACCGAGAGCCCACTTTCTGCTCGGTCCCTTTCTAAATGTGAAAACATCAGGACATAAAACAAACAAATGGAGCTGATAGTCTAGAGGGAGGAAAAACAATAAACAAACAAACAAAAAAAACCACTGAATAATATGTAAAAACATGATAAATGCTATGGGGAAAAATAAAGTAGATAAGGATAGGAAATAGGAGGGATGGGGTGAGGATTGCCATTTTAAGTAGGGTGGTTAAGGAAGGTCTCACCGAGGTGACATCTGGGCAGACCTGAAGAGAAAGGACCAGTTACCTGGGGGAGAATTCTTCAGGGAGAAGCCTGAACTGGAAGCATGGTCCCCAGTGGGTGTGGGGAACAGTCAAGAGGCCAATAGGCTGGAGCTCAACAACCGAAGGGGGACAGCAAAAGAGGAGGTAAGAGAGGTAAATGGGGACAGACTGCATATGGTTTCTAGGCCCTTCTAAGGACTAAGGAGCCACGGAAGGTTTGGAGCTAAGGAATAACATAATTCGACTTAGGCTTCTACAGGCTCCCTCTGGCTGCCTTTCTGAGAACAGACTGTAAGGGGCTTAGCAGAGAAACAGGGAAACCAGTTAGAACATTGGGATAATCTAGTCCACAGACCATGGTGGCCTGGAGCAGGAGGGTAGTATAGGCGGGTGAGAACTAGTCTAATTCTGATACTTTAAAAGTAGCCAATAGGAATAAATGAAATGAAATGAGATGAAGTGAAATACACAATGTTCAGAGAGGAAAGTACACCTTAGCCTGGGGAGAGCCAAAAAACAGTGGTGAGCTTTGAGCTGAGTCTTAAAGAGGCAGCAAGCAGGCACCAGGCAGATGAGAGAGACAAAAAGAAGGAGAGGCAGCCCAGGCAGAAGCACAGAGGTGGGAGTGGGCATGTGTTCAGAAACCACTTAGCAGAAAAGAGGCTAAGCAGTGGGCAGGGCAGACATGAAGGGCACACTCATTTGTTTTCCTGTTCCTCAAACAGGCCATGCCCTCACCTGTGTCTGGGATGCTCATTCCCTCCTTCTTCCCTACCTACATCCTACTTGTTCAGGTCTCTGCTCCAATATCAATTGCTTGGGAAACTCTAGCCTGCTCCACCTCCACACTAGAGGAAACCTCCCTTTAATGCCCTCTTACAGCACTTTATACTTCTTTGCTCCTGACACTGATCACACAATATCTCATAAGTTTGTCTTCTCTGCTTAACAGTAACCACGTCTGAGATTGAATTCCGGCACTGAGCCCAGAGCCCGACATGAAGCAGATATACACTATCGGTTGAATTAAGAAATAGGCTGGCCGACGGGTGCAGTGGCTCATGCCTGTAATCCCAGCACTTTGGGAGGCTGAGGCGGGCAGATCACCTCAGGTCAGGAGTTCTAGACCAGCCTGGCCAACATGACGAAACCTCTCTCTACTAAAAATACAAAAATTAGCCAGTCGTGGTGGCATGTGACTGTAATCCCAGCTACTAGGGAGTCTGAGGCAGGAGAATTGCTTGAACCCAGGAGGTGGAGATTGCAGTGAGCCAAGATCACACCATGGCATTCCAGCCTGGGCAACAGAGAGAGACTCCATCTCAAAAAAAACAGTAGGCCTGTAAGTCTTCTGCTTCTAACTGCCTGTGGGCAGGAAGAGTCTAAATCAGACTTGTTCGATTTTGCATTTAAAGTAAAAGTTGCCAGTGAGTGCAGTGGCTCATGCCTGTAATCCCGGCACTTTGGGAAGCTGAGGCAGGTGGATCACTTGAGTCCAGGAATTCAAGATCAGCCTGGGCAACATGGCAAAACTGTCCTACAAAAAATACAAAAATGAGCCAGGTGTCATGGCACACACCTGTAGTCCCAGCTACTAAGGAGACTGAGATGAGAGAGTCCAAGAGGTCACGGGTGCTGCGTGTGATCGCACCTCTGCACTCGCAGCCTGGGTGACAGGGCAAGACCCTGTCTCAAAAAAATCAAAAGTAAAAATAAAGTAAAAGTTAACAGGTTCCTGAGCAAACATGAGGGTGCCCTGTAAGTTAAGGGATTTTCCAGAAATAAACCTTGGGACTCTTTTCCTGTCTGCTCCAAAATCTCCTTTCTTTGCACATATCTCAGCACTGTGGAGAAGAGGGGAAAAAAAAACACAAGTCAAAATATCTCAGAGATATTTTGCAAAAACTAGCACTACCCACAGAGACACTTAAGCATTCACTTTTTTCAGAAATAAAAATTATAAAGAATGCTTAGCTGGACCCAAACTGCAAAGTCTCCTTAGAATCCAACTTAAGCACAATACACTATTTATCTACCCAGTGCTGTCTCCTGTGGTCTAACCAGCTATTTGTCTCCAAAGGGCAGGCCCATGTAGGAATGCTGGGCCTCAGCCGGCAAAAAGGATCCAGCAGCCTGCCAGGAAGGCCTTGGCACGCTAGAGCCCAGATGGCAGCTCTCCTGGGCCTCCAGCCACTGGCCTAGCCACAAATTCAATGTCCAGCCTCCTTGCAGTTGTTCAGTTCAGCAAATGCTCACTGAATCCCTATAGGCTTAGGAGCAACAATGAAACGCATGAAGTATGGCCAAAAGGACAATTCCTCTAGTCCAGAGTTTATGAAAGGCAGTGGAGAGCAAATCAATACACACAAAAAATACTGAGCACCTACTGTGTGCCAGTCCAGGGAAGCCTCTGGGCTCCAGAGATATGAAAGCTCAAGATGCCCACAGTCTAATGTCTACTTTCCTTGCTCTTTCTCAAGAGAATGCCTGGTTTTGTGTACTTACCACTATTTCCCAAGCCAGCTTTGGGGGTGATGCCATCCAGGTCATCTGGTACGTTAGGAACAAGGCCACTAGGAGAGAATACATAGGATAAGAGATGAGCTAATGTTTGAACAATACAAACTGTTAAGACTGCCTGGACTGCACTTGACAATTATGCCATAGCCAGGAGGGACAGACACACAGCTGAACTACCTGTGAGGCATGAAGCACAGAGATTAAGAACTCAGGCTTTGGGGCTGAGTTCTGGCTTTAGAACTGAGTTCCAGCTCCAACACTTGGTAGCTGAGTGACCTTCGGTAATATCATTCATTCATTCAGCCATACATCAAATGTTCTGTGTGCCAAATATGTGCTAGTGGCAGAGGCACTGTGCCAAGTACAAGCTGGTTATGTTTCTGTTATGTTTCTAAGTCTCACTTTCTTAATCTGGTAATGGGGATACCATGCCCTCCCTATAAAAATTAAATTACTTCATGTATATAAACAAAAAGCACATAGTGAATGTTCAATAAACGGCAACTATTGTGGTTGCTACTATCATCATTATGACTACTAATATAGCCCTGGTTGAATTATATAAATATGTCCGTGAGGATCTAGAGACATTAACAGAAAACTAACCCATATTAGGAGGTGTGGTGTGACACGAAAGACACTACCCTGAATTCTGTTCTCAGCTCTGCCATGTATCTCCCTGAGCCTCACTTTCTTCAGCTGTAAAAGGAAAACAGCAGCTACCTCACAGAGTAATTGGCAATTAAACATAGCAAGGTACCCATATATTGTGGGTACTCCAATCATGTCACCCTGAAACCTACAGCACTTTACAATTTTTTTTTTTTTGAGTTGGAGTCTCGCTCTATCGCCCAGTCTGGAATGTAGTGGCACAATCTTTGGCTCACTGAAACCTTCACCACCTGGGTTCAAGCAATTCTCCTGCCTCAGCCTCCCAAGTAGCTGGGATTACAGGCGCCCACCACTATGCCCAGCTAATTTTTGTATTTTTAGTAGGGACGGGTTTTCACCATATTAGCCAGGCTAGTCTCTTGGCCAGGCTGGTCTCGAACTCCTGACCTCATAATCTACCTGCCTCAGCCTCCCAAATTTATATATGATTATATATGATCCCAAATGCTGGGATTACAGGTGTTAGCCACTACGCCCGGCTAGTACTTTGCAATTTATAAAAGATTTGCCATCATTAGAATTGCCAAATTCCCTGAGGGTACACACATTTTTCAAAGGAAGCCTCCAAGGCCCAGACAATTTCACTGTCCTAGCCAGGATCACATGGCAGTTCAGTGGAGAGCCAGGTCCAGAAGCCAGGCCTTTAACGTCCAACCTCCACAAACAATTCCCTATCCCACGCTATAAACTAGGAGTTGATGGAAGCTCAGCTTGACTTCTTGGCAGTTTGCTCTTTCCATGACCCTAAATCCAAATTCATTCGGCTCCTGGGACAATTTTGCCTGACCACCAAACTTTGGAGTTGGAATGGACCTTCAAGATCAAAAACAGCAAAAAAACTGAAAATATCATAAAATTCCAACATCAAGAAAACGATCACAAAAAATGTGTCTGGGCTGGCTACAGTGGCTCATGCCTATAATTCCAGTACTTTGGGAGGCCAAGGTGGCGGATCACTTGAGATCAGGAGTTCAAGACCAACCTGGCCAACATAGTAAAACCCCGTCTCTACTAAAAATAAAAAAATTAGCCAGTTATCATGTGAGGTGCATGTAATCCCAGCTACTAGGGAGGCTGAGGCAGGAGAATTGCTTGAACCTGGGGGGCCGAGATGGATCGCACCACTGCACTCCAGCCTGGGTGACAGAGTGAGACTCTGTCTCAAAAAATAAAAAATAAAAAGTGTCCCCTTTACAAAGGTAAATGAAAAAATGTAAACAGATGAAAACAAATACTATACAGTACGTAAACACTGAAGCCACCTCAAGTCCGTTTTGGAAATAGGTGGGTTACAGATACACAAGACAAAGAAAATACACTGAAATATTTAAAACCATCATTTGTGGGGAAATGAGAGGTTTTCTTTCTTTTAATATTCCATAATTCTCAATTTCCTCCAATAAACATCACTAGAGGGACAAAGTCAATTTTCTAAACTGAATTTTAAAAACTAAAATCAAGTTGAACCATCACCTTTTGCAGATGGTGGTTCAGAAGCCCAAGGTCACACACACCAGGTTATTGGCCAAGCTCGGCCTAACGTCTCGTTCTACATTCTCAATCTGCACTTCTCTCCACCACAGCCATTACATTAACTCCCACTGGCTGAAACTGCCCATGAATAACTCAAGCCAACATTAATCACAGCTGAAAAGTACCTAGCAAGCAAAGCGAAAGATTTTGGTCTTAGACAAGCGTCCTACAGGCAAACACTGAAGTTTGAAAAATGATACTTGACATCCTCTTAGACAAAACCACTATGTAATGCAGAAATTCTTGCCTGGATCCTGCCAAATTTCCACTTGGGCTTTACCTACCCACTTTTAAAATGCTATGACTCTCTATCATCTGCACCCTCCAGTCAGGTCCAACCACACCTCCAGCCCCAAGCAGCTCCCTCTTCCCATTCTGATCATTCACTTGTAGCCTTATAATTAAGGTTGGGGCCTCTGGGAGACTCACTAGAAATAAAAACAATGTAAGCAAAAGAAGAGGGCTCAGATATGATCTTATCAGTGCACAGATGAGAAGACCGAAACCCAGAAATGGGTTAGGAACTTATTTGCTCAAAATCACAAAAGTCAGTGGCAAAGCCAAGCCCAAAATCCAGGATCCCAGTGCCTTTTCCACTTGCTAACCTGTGTCTGGACCGCCCAAAGCTCCTATATAAATGTGACACACAGTGGAGTACCAGTTTCCTAACGTGCAAAATAAAGCACAATCTAAGAAACCTGCCCTGTATGGGGCACCCATGCTGCACAAGCACCACGCTCAGCACAGGACAGGCAGCCCTCCCTTTCATCCTCACCACAGGATTAAAGTCCATTTTCTAAACTGAATTTTAAAACTAAAATCAGGTTTAATCCTCACCACAGTCCTTGTGCAGTAGGTGGTGCTTTTTAATGTTGCCATTTTTTTTTTTTTTTGAGACAGAGTTTCCCTCTGTCACCCAGGCTGGAGTACAGTGGCACCATCTTGGCTCACTGCAACCTCTGCCTCCCAGGTTCAAGCTATTCTCCTGACTCAGTCTCCTTAGTAGCTGGGATTACAGGTGCGCATCACCACACCTGGCTAATTTTTTGTATTTTTAGTAGAGACAGGGTTTTACCATGTTGGTCAGGCTGGTCTCTCTTTTTTTTTTTTTAAAGAGGAAACAAAGACCCAAAAGTTAATAAGCTGGAAACTCCAAGCTAGTCTAAGTTTGACCGCCTGCTCTGAACCTACACCACCCTGGTACCCCTGAAGCCTTCCCGGAGATGGGGGTAGGGGAGGTGGTGGTGGTAGTAAGGACCAAATGGACTGAGGCATAAGGTTTCCATCACTCAGCACAGGGCACAGCCATCACAAAGACTGTTTCATTTCGTTTTATTTTGCTTTGTTTTTTTGGAGACTCTGACTCTATCGCCAAGGAAGGAGTGCAGTGGCATGATCCCAGCTCACTGCAACCTCCACCTTCCGCGTTCAAGCCTCAGCCTCCCAAGTAGCTAGGATAACAGGCATGGACCACCATGCCCGGCTAATATTTTGTATTTTTAGTAGAGATGGAGTTTTGCCGTGTTGGCCAGGCTGGTCCTGAACTCCTGAGCTCAGGTGACCTGCCCACCTCAGCCTCCCAAAGTGCTAGGATTACAGGCGGGAGCCACTGCGCCTGGCTGCAGGAACTGTTTATGGACAATTTTTGAGTGACTGAATGGACCTTCACGTGAGCTTCATCCTCCATTTTGCTCTACTGCTGCTACTCAAAAGGAGTGACCTCCTTCTATTCCTATATATGCCAGTAACAATTGTCCATTCAAACCATAAGACCCAAGGGGACTGTCACCTTGACAAGTTGCTTCATGAGCCGTGGGTGAGACCAGACATCTCATTCAGACGATTACACCAAAAAGATCACTTTTGTCTTTTAACAACCCCTTTTTCCTTCCATTTTATTTATTCTTAATTACAGAAAAATACATAAATAAAAAAATACAGATAAACCTAAAGTTCTCCTTGGCTACTCCTCACTCCCATCTAGTACCTGCCTAAGAGGTAATCACTGTTATCAAAAAGACCTATAACCTTCCAGATCTTTTTATATGGTCTCTTTTTTTTTAACTCTGCTGCTTAAAAATAAAACACATGCAATCAAACGGTATATATCACGCCACGACATGTTTCTTCTACTTAATATTCCCTCAAGATGTTTTCATGACAGTAGAAATAGAAATGCCTCAAAGTTTTTCACTCCTACAAAGCTTTCTACAGCAGTATTATCCAAACTTTACTGACCATGAGCCACAGAAGAAACATTATTACGCTTCATCCTTGAAATGTTTTCTATTCTGTTCTTCTTTTCTAAATCCTGGTTGCAACCCACCAAATTGAATTGCATGAGCTACCAATGGGCCGCAGTTTGAAACACACCTTTGAAAGAATGTGTATTTACCCAATCCCCTACTGATGATAATTCAATTTGTTTCCAAGTTTTTCTTTTACACACACAGTCATATGAATGTCCTTATAAGGTCCCACTCTGCACAAGTATGAGGATTTCTCTAGAATAGATGACAAGAAGTGGAATTGCTGGGTCAAAATATATTCACATTTTTTAAACAGACAAAGGATTTGAATACACATTTCTCCAAAGAAAGTGTACAAATGGCTAAAAGGCACATGGAAAGATGCTCCACAAATCAGTACTCATTAAAGTATAATTAATACCACAATAAGGGTTGGGCACGGTGGCTCACTCCTATAATCCCAGCACTACGGAAGGCCAAGGCAGGTAGATCACCTGAGGTCAGGAGTTCCAAGACCAGTCCAGCAAACATGGTGAAACCTCGTTACTACTAAAAATATACAAATTAGGCCAGGCACAGGGGCTCATACCTGTAATTCC